AAAAAAAAAAAAAAAAAAAAAAAAAAAACCCCATTGACAAACTCAAAGCATTGATAGTGAAAGTGATCTTTTATTTACCACAGCATTGAAGTGAAAACGATCTGTGCCTTTCCAGTTATCCAAATCATAGGCAGTGTAGTGTTTGCAGCAGGCGGCGACTTTAAGGTGGTCGGGATTGCCATCCTCCCGCTGCTGCAGGCCTCGGACATAGCTGACAGCATACTTGCTGGAGAGCAAAGGGTCCTCCCCAGGAGTCTCTTGGCCTCTGCCCCATCTGGGGTCTCTGAAAATGTTAACATTGGGCGACCAAAAGGTGAGTCCTGCTAATCCTGCATTGTACATAGCTCTTGCCTCCGTTGAAACTACCTGCGCAATTAACAAGTAGAATTTCTTTCATTTCAATCAAATCTAATCTCCACTCTTGTGTTCTTCATTCTTGATGCGTATTTGCTTTTTTTCTTTTAAGAAAAAATTTAGATTATCCTGAAAATAAAAAAAGAATGTCAGCTGTCGGCAGTTTCCAATATCTGAATCAAAATCTTCCTTTTGAGCTGGAACCATCAAAAAGTTTTGAAGAACACTTGAATTTGTGTACAAAACTCCAGTAGGTCAACAACCACCATTTTTCTTTTGCTAGCAATTATTGGATAATTTAGCTTTTTATGCAAGTTTTTCAATCTCTTTCTCTCTCCTCTTTAAGCCAAGAGATTTCTGAACTATCTTTCACCCACCTCCACATAACATGCCTATTAGCAGCTGTTGAAGGTAATCTAATATCTACTTTTTCTGACAGAACATGAGGTGGAAATAATCTAAAAAAATATTAGATTCTTTTTCTTCTGAAAAAAAGGCTGATACACTTACAGGAGAATGGGGTTTATTATCATCTTGAAATCTGAAAAAACCTTTGATTTTCATGGGTCTTCTTATATTAGCTCCGAGTTCTGCACTCAACTCACTAAGTCACAATTCCAAGTTCTATATGCTATGCTAAAAAACACATTTTGCAGGTTAAAAACAGATTGTTTTGGCTTGATTAAAGCATTTCTGCTACCCACATTGTCCAGAAGCAGAGTTAGAGAGACAGAGAGAAACAGAGGAGCATTGCTTGTATTACCTTTCCAATGGTTTCAAACAGAGTAGCATTGAAGGATGCTGCTGTCAAGATGACCTGAGGGAAGCTGGTGGCGCCAGGAACCACAGTTGAAAATTTCGTCCCTTGACCGACTCTAGAGACACCGTGCAAAGCCTCCGACCACCATTCGTACTTTGGAATCCCCAGTCGGGTCACACTCCCGGCCTTGCTGACCAGAAACCCGATCTTCTCCGTCAATGTAAGCCGCTTCACCAAATCCTCAACTCGAGCCTCAAACCCAAGCGACGAATTGCAGAAGCCGAACCCCGCCACAGCCGGATTGCTCTCAGCATCACAGGCAAACGGCATTCCCTGCTGGCCGGAGCTCCGGGAGAAACAGAGAGACAGAAGCAAAAAGAAGAAGGAGAATGTGAAAACAGAGAGCTTTGGTGCTCTGTTTTGGAGAGCCATGGCGAGCTGGATTTTGGCTGCCATGGAAATAAGAGAGCTCTAATGGAAGAGTGAACAAAAGGGTATATTGTAATGCTCATGAAATGAACATTATTTTATAGTGAAAGAGATGATGGAATTACGTAAGCCCAAAACCAAAGCACGTTGTTTTCTTGGCTACCCATGATGGATAATTTGGAAGAAAAAAAAATTTAATTAGTTAAATTATGTATTCCGTAAGATCGATGTCATCATCATAGAGTTATGTTCATATAAACTCTTTAAGACATAGCTCGGATTCTGAAACGTTATTATTTTATCTTTTAACATACGAGGATAAGTCTTCTTTAAATGTGACATAGAGATGCAACGAGCCAAACCCGAGCCATAGGGACTAGAATGTAATTTAGGGAAAGAAAAAGAAAAGAAAATGAAAAGCAAAAGTTGATTTATTTTGGATTGGGGTTGGTTGTTTGGGAAAAAGGAATTGAAGTGGGAATCTAATTTAATGGAACAAAATTGAGGTGGTGGCCGTGGGGTACCCTACAAGTCCATGACTTTTGTTTTAAAATTTTACTTATTTACAAAATTACTTTACCCTTCTAAATTTTACTTTGAGCTTCCTCACACCAATGAATGTTCGATATTCGAGGATTTGCCAATCTATTGGCACGGCTAAGTTTAGGGCATGACTTTGATACCATGTTAGATGAACACGACTCTCCACAATGGTATCATATTGTCCACTTTGAGCATAAGCTCTCATGGCTTTGCTTTAGGCTTCCCAAAAGGCCTCACACCAATGAAGAGTGTATTCTTAGATTATAAACCCATGACCATTCCCTAAATTAACCGATGTGGGACTTTCATCATCCAACACTAAAAGCATTAAGAACAAGAATTAAGCTCTTTTTTTAAAGAATTTATTTCAATTGGGTTTAATATATAATTCGTCACACTTTCATGGTTTGTATTTGTATTAGACATCAGAATCAAACGAGCTTTTACCCTTTTGTTCTACACGAGATTTTTGTTCTCGTTGAGCTCATTTTAGAACACTTGTGTTATCTTTTAACAGATCTATCGCTCCACCAAGAAAGGCATTGGGTCCGAAAAGAGTAGTGTCATACCGAAGTAGGTATTGGGTCCGAAAAGAGGAGTAGTGCCGCACCGAGATAGGCATTTGACCTCTTAGGTTAATTGTTCATAATGGCTATTTGACTTGTGAAGTTGCCTTAGGAAACATTATTTGTTTTTTTTCTTGTTATGGGTTCCCATGCTACAATTAGCCCATTGATTCACAAGCATAGCTATAAGATTAATAAATAATCTCCCTAGTTATGCTAGAGTATGCTCAAATTCCAATCCATTTGAGATTTCATTCTAAAATTCTTTTATCTTACTTAACTTAGATTTTAATACAGATATTATTGTTCAACGAGTATATTTGGTAAGAATGTTCGTGAGTTGGATTTAATGAAACAATATTGCACGTGAATGACAGGGCCATCTGATATTGAATTTGAATTTCAAATCCTAGTTCGAATCCTAGATATGAGATGTTACACACAACAATTGTACGGGTGAAATTTTAATATAGAATAACACATACTATTGTGGTTTATTTAGAGACAAATCTCGAATGTTAATAATGTAACGACCCTAAATTTTTATTTATCTAGAGTCGCTACCGTCATCATTGTCTATTCTCATAGGCGGAATTAAACATTTAAAACTTCCTCGTAAATGTAAACTCAATCTTAAAACATTGTCATAGACTTACGTGTTCGAAAACATCTTTTAAATGGCATGACGAAATGTTAAATAAAATAAATAAACGCTAAAAATTAGAAACATCATATTTTAACCTAAGTCGAAGAAAATAATTATAGCTACCTATGCATGTGTCATGGTCTCGGATTGTAATGTCGTCATCAGCCGTACAAGGATGCCTATCATACGACTTGAGTATTTTAAGAAATACACAATAAGTGACGTCATTGGGGCCAGGGAATGGAAACACATGTAATTCATGATCTGGTGACCTATCATTTAAAAACCATTATAGGGTGGCCTCTGGTCTGGACAAAATTGAATGTGTAGTACTTCCCTACATACGACTCACACGTGTGAGTGTAGATCCCTAGGTGGTTTGCACCCCTGGACCCATCATAGTCAAGGTAGCTATTCGTAGTGACGTTCGGAGGTCAGCAGACCCTAGGTGTCATGCGAGACATGATCATCATCATCATAGTATATTCTTACGTACTCATCATCATAAATGGGGAAGTATCTTGATGTATATGAACACACAAAATGCATGAGGTGCATATAATTTTCAATCTTTAAATGATTTTTATGACACAACCCTATACCTCGTTCACACATTACTCTTGGTAACATGCATGCATTGACTTTCATGCATTCATCATCATTACCATAGTGCATCGTGACATTTAATACATGCACATCATCTTAATATGAAAGATCATCATATTAAGTCATTTTATCATCAAACATTTCACATCATCTTGTTATCATGCATCATCATCACGTCAACATCATGTACGTCATCATATAACGTCATCACATCATCATTTAACGTCACCACTTCATCATATAACATCATTACATCATCACATCATCACATAACGTCATCAAGTCATCACATCATCATATAACATCATCAGATCATCATATAACATAAAACATAAATGATGTCATCACATCATCATATAACATTAAACATAAATGACACGTGCGAGGGCCACTGGACACGTGTCATCATACATAAGACAAATCTTCCGATCGAGCTGATAGTATGACTAAATACTTGATTGGCCTTAGCCAAAGTTTTATCTAGCTCCAAATTTGGTTGCTTTTATCCTTCGAATTCATTCTCACTTATATCGAGCCTTCACCTATTTTAAATATTGTTTATTATAATATTATTTTCATACAAACAATTTAAAAGCGGTTAAGCCTTCCAATGATTTTTACTTGTCTTCCTCTCTGTCTTTGTAAGGCAACAAAATCATAGTAAATAAATTTGAAACTAAGATCTAAATAAGGCAACAAAATCACGATAAAAAAAAGAAAGAAAGATTTAACTCACGTGACAAAGTCTTCTACTCACGTGACAAATCTGAGTAAAACCATTTTTATTTACAGCTTGTTTTTAGTGGAAGGGAATTATTAATTTATGGAATGACAAAGATATTTTAGGTAAGCAGTAAATGAGAGGTAGTTTGTTGCTTATTTATTTTATTTTATTATTTTTTACCGTGGTTACAAATGAAATAAAAAATAAAAAAGCTAAACTAATAAGGAATATCAATGGAAAACTTGTTTTAGAGAGTTTTTTCACCCCATAAATTTTATACTAGTTAAACTAAATGTAACAAATATCTCCCGAGCTTAAGTCATTACAAATAATATTAGAGTCAAAACACTGGGTCATGTGCCAGTGAGAAAGCTGTTATTCGAAGGGGATAGAGACACGAGGTGGGTCATGTGCCAGCGAGAAGGTTGTTATTTGAAGGGGGTAGAGACACGAGGTGGGTCATGTGCCAGCGAGAAGGCTGTTGTTCGAAGGGGGTAGAGACATGAGGTGGGTCATGTGCAGCGAGAAAGGCTGTTATTCGAAGGGGGTAGAGACACGAGGTGGGTCATGTGCCAGCGAGAAGGCTGTTATTCGAAGGGGGTAGAGACACGAGGTGTGTCATGTGCCAGCGAAAAGGCTGTTGTTCGAAGGGGGTAGAGACATGAGGTGGGTCATGTGCAGCGAGAAAGGCTGTTATTCGAAGGGGGTAGAGACATGAGGTGGGTCATGTGCAGCGAGAAAGGCTGTTATTCGAAGGGGGTAGAGACACGAGGTGGATCATGTGCAAGCGAGAAGGCTGTTATTCAAAGGGGGTAGAGACATGAGGTGGGTCATATGCAGCGAAAAAGGCTGTTATTCGAAGGGGGTAGAGACACGAGGTGGATCATGTGCAAGCGAGAAGGCTGTTATTCAAAGGGGGTAGAGACATGAGGTGGGTCATATGCAGCGAGAAAGGCTGTTATTCGAAGGGGGTAGAGACACGAGGTGGGTCATGTGCCAACGAGAAGGCTGTTATTCGAAGGGGGTAGAGACACGAAGTGGGTCATGTGCAGCGAGAAAGGCTGTTATTCGAAGGGGGTAGAGACACGAGGTGGGTCAAGTGCAAGCGAGAAGACTGTTATTCGAAGGGGTAGAGACATGAGGTGGGTCATGTGCAGCGAGAAAGGCTGTTATTCGAAGGGGGTAGAGACACAAGGTGGGTCATGTGCCAACAAGAAGGCTGTTATTCGAAGGGGGTAGAGACACGAAGTGGGTCATGTGCAGCGAGAAGGCTGTTATTCGAAGGGGGTAGAGACACGAGGTAGTGTGCTAGTAAGAACGTTGGGCCTTGGAAGGGAGTGGATTATGAGATCCTACATCGATTAGGGATGAGAATGAAACACCCTTTAAGGATGTGGAAACCTCTCTGGGTAGACATGAGGTGGTGTGCCAGTGTGAGATCCCACAACAATTGGGGAGGAAAACGAAACAACCTTTGTAAGCGTGTAAAAACTTCTCCACTCGTTTTAAAAACTTTGAGGGAAAGTCTGAAAGGAAAATCTTAAAGTGGAGAATATTTACTAGTAGTGGACTTTGGCCGTTACATTTTCTATATGTTTCAAGCGTTAAGACACTCCAAATAGCGTTCAATGCCACTCATAAGACACTCCAAATAGCGCTCAATGCCACTCATTCAACTAGGCTTCAATTTCTCTTCTAGTTGCTCATAATATCACTATTCCTCCGCTCCAAATGTTCGATTCCTACAAAAATAAATATGAACATAAAATTTTTCAATTAAACATTAGAACTAACAATAAATAAATTCTAAAAATAAATCCATGTAATAAAAAAGAAATAGAAAAATGGTAAATCATTTATTTATACATAGAGATTGGGAATAGTATTGGAGTGTAAGCTGTGGATAAAGTCAAAAAAGGCAGCGACTTTGGAAATTTGGGTTCATAGGGAGCTGTTTCTGTCC